GCCGACAGTGAGTCCAGCACCTTTTGAAAAGGTTGTAAGGTGCTTAAAAAACAGAGGAAGGAAAAAAAGGGGGGGTTATCGTCCGAGTAAAGGTGCTGTGTTGATCAGAAAGGCAGTCTGTCTCAGTTACTGTGCGGGTGGCACAGTAGGTTGGTGGTCGATGTATCACCGGGCCTCTTCAACGGAGCGTAGCCACCTCCTCTCTCCTCCGGCTAAGGTGATATGGAATGACTCAAGGTTACAACCTCTCTTTATAGACTTTGAAGTTCTGTCATGTGGAATTCTTTTCAGTGTGTCATCATTCTATGAAAGAAGCAAACAGACTGCATGTCTGTGATGCCACAGAGTAGACCAGCTCTAGCCAAGCCGAGTCAGGAAGCCTTTCTAATTTGTAATGGAAGTGCGTACCACAATTTAGGAGCTCAGAGAGGAAGTGTGGGGCAAGACCATTTAATGCTTTAAAAACAAATAAAAGAATAAAATAAAAGAATAAACGGAACTCTAAAATGGACAGGCAACCAGTGTAGTGAGGATAAAACGGGAATAATATACTTGTCAGAGTACCTGGGTCATTGACTCAGCGTTTCAGTTTGGACTTTTGTCACTGTAGCTGACGCTGAAATGTTTGTGTGGGTTGATTCAGTAGCCTGATGGCCTGTGGATCAGTGTTGGTCAAGTTACTTGAAAAAAGTAATCAGTAACTAATTACTGATTACTTCCCCAAAAAAGTAATCCTGTTACTTTACTGATTACTTATTTTCAAAGGTAATTAATTACTTAGTTACTTAGTTACTTTTTAAAAACACGATTTACAACCTGAAGAGGTGATAAAGTGATAGATCTTTCAGCCCAATTCTACTTTTTCTGCATAATCCATCATACAAAATGTAATCAAATGGAAAAGTCTCTTTTTAAAACTTGTTTTATTAGTTTTAATCTTTTAACTTTATGCATCAAGCAAAAATGTAATTATCTGCAACATTCACTGACTGGAAGAAATTAGTTTAACATTTAAACCTATTTTCTGCACATTCCAGCACATAAAATAAAATATTTTGTGTGTTTACACTCAGTCTTTCAAATAGATGCAAGTAAAACACAGCAGAAAATAAATAAAGTCAAAGACTCAGCGGTCCTGTTGCTCTATTTTCACCTGTAAAGCAGGAGTGGGGTAGGCGGAGGTTTACCCTGGTGCAGGTGTGCCGCGGTCAGTGGAAGAATCCGCGAGTTTCTCTGTGAGTTTCCCATTACGTCGTAGCTACTCGGTGCTTGTTGGAGGTTTAGGGGTTTTTTTCGCTGTAAAAAGAAGTTTTCTTCCCACGCACAGCGGACACTAATGTTTTTGTCACTTTTTATGGAATCAAACTCAAAGTAAGGTCAGTACTTCCACGCTTTAAACGCTGCACGCTCACACTCTCTCTGCACTCGATATATGATCCACTGTTGATCTGCACACAGCTGTTGTCACGGACGTCGCACTCGCTTACGTCACTGTCATGAGACGTTCTCGCAGAAAAATCACGGTTTTAGTAACGCAGTAACGCAGCGTTCCTACGGGAAAGTAACGGTGATCTAATTACCGTTTTTGCAATAGTAATCCCTTACTTTACTCATTACTTGAAAAAAGTAATCAGATTACAGTAACGCGTTACTGCCCATCTCTGCTGTGGATTAGTGATGGGATTTACGGCTCTTTCGGCTCCAAACCGGCTCTTCAGGTTGTTTTGTTGCTTTAATTAATTTATTATTAACAATAATATAAAATTATGCACAAAAGTAATTACTAATGTAAAAAAGTGGCTTTATTTATATATGTTTATATATAAATAAATACGGTGGCCCCTAGAGACAAAACACGTACAAACTCCAAAGCTTTCACACTCCTGTATTGTCTGCCAGATGGTAGGAGTGTGAACAGTGTGTGCTGTGGGTGGGTGCTGTCCTTAATGATATAGTTTGCCCTGAGTGTTGTAAATGTCCTGTAGTGGTACTCCACAGATGAGTTGTGCCATTTTGATGACACGTTGGAGAGCCTTCCTGTCCTGAGTTCCCGTAGCACACTGTGATGGAGTTTGTCAGGATACTCTCCACTGTGCATCTGTAAAAGTTGCTGAGAAGTTTGGAGGTTAATCCAAATTTTCTCAGCTTCCCTAGGAAGAAGAGTCGTTGTTGAGACTTCTCGATGATCTGCCGTGTGTTATGGGTCCAGGTGAGATCCTCACTGATGTGGGTGCCAAGGAATTTGAATGTCTTCACCCTCTCCACCTGAGTCCTGTTGATGCATAGTGGGGCGTGCTGCTCTCTCCTCATTCTTGGGTCAATAACCATCTCCTTAGTCTTCTCAGCATTTAAGGAGAGATTATTTTCCAGGCACCAGCTGAGCCACCTCTTCCCTGTAGGCAGTCTCCTCTCCAGCAGTAATCAGCCTGACGATGGTTGTGTCATTTAATGATGGAGGTGTTGCTTTGGGAGGGGACACAGTCATAGGTGAACAGGTGTACAGGAGTGGACTGAGCACACAGCCTTGGGGAGTCGCTGTGCTCACTATCTTTGTACCTCATGTCCCGGTACCAACTCTGACTGCCTGGAGTCTGCCTGTGAGGAAGCCCAGGACCCAGAGACAGAGGGGGGTGTCAGTCCAAGAGTAGAGAGCTTTTTCATGGTGGGATGATGGTGTTGAATGCTGAGCTGTAGTCTATAAACAGCATTTGAACATACATGTCCTTGTTTCCGAGGTGTGAGAGGGCTGTGTGGATAGCTGCATTAACGGCGTCCTCGGGAGAGCGATTCCTCCGATATGCAAATTGCAGAGGGCCTAATCTGTCCGGGATGGCTTCTTTGATATGGGACATGACAATCCTCTCAGAACACTTCATTACAATTTGAAGTGAGTGCAATGGGGCGAAAGTCATTCAAACAGGTTATTTACGTGGGGAGGGGCACTATGATGGTGGTCTCGAAGCATGTGGGCACAGCTGACTGGGTGAGGGACAAATTGAAAATGTCTCTGAAGAGCAAACACTCAAAGCATGGCCTGGGATGTTGTCAGGGGAAATCAGTGATGTGTTGGAGGCCCTGCCACATTCGGCGGGATTCGAGTTGTTGTAGTATCCCTCCAGCTTCAGTCTGTATGTGGGTCATATCTGGCCTTTTTGTAGCGCTCTGTGCCACCAGAGGCAAACGCAGTGGAGTGTGCATGTAGCATGGAACGTACCTCACAGTTCAACCATGGTGTCTGATTTGGATATGTTTTGTAGCGCTTGGTGGGGACAATATTGTCAATGCATGTGGTGAGGTAGCTGGTGACCACTGGTGCATATTCCTTTAAATCCACAGAGCAGTCCTCTCTCATGGCAGCAGTCTTAAACACGTCGCAGTTTGTAGCACCAAAGCAGTTCTGAAGCACCGAATCAGTCTTTTCGCTCCAAGCTTTAGTAATTTTACTTACTTGGGGGGCTCGTTTGAGGAGCTGCCTGTTTGCCAGATAGAGGAACACAGAAATGTGGTCGGACTGTCCAAAATGCGGGCGAGGCACTGCCTTGTATGCACCTCTTACATTGCTGTAGACCTGGTCTATGATGTTGTTATTCCTTGTCGGAAAGCTCAAGTATTGATGGAACTTTGGGACCACAGTCCTGAGGGTGCAGTGATTAAAATCCCCGGCAGCAACAAACGCAGCAACTGGGTGAGCAGTCTCGTGTTTGCTGATGATGTCATGCAGTAGTCCTAGCGCTGTGGTCCAGTGTTGTTGATGTAAATGCATACACCGCCGCCTTTGTTTGTACCCGAGGCAGATGTGACGTACGGGACAAATCACGTTCCTTTTCACCTCAATATGGATGTATTGTAATTGGTCCAGCCCAGAGTCGATCATGACCACTCAATCCACCACCTTTCATTGTTTATAACGTTAGAAACAAACAAACAAACAACATCAGCCTACCTGGCAAATGCCCGGTATGCCCGATGGCCAGTCCAGCTGTGCAAAGTATCCACAACTTTTGGACAGTAGTGCATACAGTTGGGTCAATGGTATGTTTTTCATAGTTCTGCCTGTGCGGACCACAATGGTGAATTTGAAATCACACTGTCAAGACGGGACAGAAGTGCACACTTTTAGACTCAAAGGGCTCAACAGAAGTTCTGTAACTGTTTATGAGTTACATTATATACAGTCACCCATTATCACAAGCTCAAACGTAACTGGACAAACTAGTACAATTTTAAATGTAAGGAAAGGTTTTTGTAGTCTAGTCTAGAAAAATATCCCATTTCTTTGCCTTAAGAAAGTCTTTGGTTCGGTTTCCATTTTGCTTTGGGTCGCTATCCATGTAAAGCTCTGTCAGTTTTGTAGCATTTGACTGAAGCAGAGGACATAGTTTTGTGTGTTTCATAATACATCCTGATACTTCTATCACACAATCAATAAGCACTACTGACTTCATCCCACTGTCAACCATACATACCTATGCCATTACACTGCCTCCATCATATTTGATACATGTGGTGTCCAATCAAGAGTTGCTTCTCTCCTCCTCCGTGTCTCTTTTCCCAGCTTAATCTGTCCAAACATTCTTTACCAGAACTGTTTACATGCTTCCTGGTAGTCGGATCTGGGATTCTCCTTCTAGAAAATAAACAGTAATTTCTCTTGATTGCAGATTTTGGCGACGATAAACATACCTCCTTTTACTTTACTAAGTACATCCACTTCTGTGGTCTTCTGGACCTGTTGGCAGCGAGTTCCTTTTTTAACAATGAGTTTGGCATTCTTGCAGTGTTTTTCTCTCTAACTGAGAAGCTCGAAAACAAAATAGATCTCATGGTGGTCTCCTTCATTTGGACTGAAATCTCTTTGGATCTCATATTGTCAGTCAACTGTCCAATTTGGTTTTGAGTCTCTAACGATGGAGAACCGTGCATAAAAATAGCTGTAATTCCTAAACAGTTAATGCTATTTTATTTAGAAAAGAGAAAAAAGTGGAAAGTACTCTGACAGTCAATAATATTAAGATGTTTGTCTTCAATTCAACATTTGTTTAATGGAAAGTATACAAAATACCAGACAAAGCTGTATATACATACTCAGATGATACCAACAAAACACCTGCATTTTGAAATTTCTGTGTACTCTTTATCAGTATAGAATATTTGAACACAGTCATTCCACTGACAGCATAGTAAGAACCGTCCGAGGTCTGACGGGCTGCTCAGTCATCCTTTCATTCCATAGCAGTCGAGTCCAGTTCATTGAGAAACCTCTGACATTTAGCCACGAGGACCTTAATCGCCTCTGTGACTAAGACGTCTGGAGGCAGGATCCCGGTGGATTCCACTGTAACTGTAAAAGAAAAAACATCCATGGGCTAAAATAGTGTAAAGACAGTGATGCACGTATTCACGTATAAGATTGACGAACTGTGCGCTCTGAACAACCACAGACTATACCGTGAGTGCAGCTTGTTTATCTTCACGGAGACGTGGCTAACCGAGCTAACGCCGCAGGCTAACGTAGACCTATGCGGTTTCACATCCGTGAGAGCCGATAGGGACACGCAGGCCAGCGGAAAAAGCAGAGGTGGGGGACTCATTGTCTACGTTAACAACAGATATGCCGTCCGGACCTGGAGCTGCTAGCTGTTAGCTTGCGGCCATATTATCTACCTCGGGAGTTCAGTAATGTGATCTGTGTGTGTGTTTACATCCCTCCGAGGGCCGACGCAACAGCTGCCTGTGAGAAAATACACACAGTCACAGCAAGACTTCAGACACAAACCCCGAGGCTTTCATTATTATATCTGGAGACTTTAACCATGCCACACTGGATTCTACTCTGGCTGCTTTTCACCAGTTTGTGAATTGTCCCACAAGGAGCAAAAGGACAATTGACCTACTGTATGCTAATGTGAGAGATGCATACAGAGCCACCCCCCTCCCCCCACTAGGGAAGTCAGACCACAACCTGGTTTACCTACAGCCACAATACACACCCCTCGTCCAAAGGCAGCCTGTCACAACGCGCTCCATCCGGAGATGGACCCCAGAAAAGGAGGATGCTCTGAGAGACTGCTATGACACCACAGACTGGGATGTGCTCCTGAGCCCACATGGTGAGGACATAGAGGGGGCGACACACTGTCTTACAGACTACCTCAACTTTTGTGTGGACACGGTCGCCCCTGCTAAGACGGTACGGTGTTATCCTAATAACAAACCGTGGGTAACACAGGAAGTCAAAGCTGTCCTCAACATGAAGAAGAAGGCTTTCAGGAGCAAAGTGAAGGAGGAGATGAAAGCAGCACAGCGGGAGGTGAAACGCTGCCTGAGGGAAGCAAAGGACACCTACAGGAGGAAGGTGCAGAAGTTGGAGAGGAACAATATGAGGGAGGTCTGGAATGGTGTGAAAACCATCACAGGCCACAACACCAAGAAAAGCACAGTGGGGGGACTGTGGAGAAGGCAAACGAACTCAACAACTTCTTCAACAGGTTTGACCAGCCCACAACCCCCCCACCCTCACCCTCACCTTCACTGCAGAGTCCTCTCCCCACTCTCCTGCCTCCCTCGCTTCCCCCCCTTCCTGACACCATGACACCCCCCTCCTCCAATCCCTCTCTCAGCAGCAAGACATCTCCCCCCCTCCCCTCCTCCCAAACATCTCCCAGTGTCACAGTGGATCAGGTCAGGAGGCAACTGAGGAAGCTTCGCTCCAGAAAGGCAGCAGGCCCAGACAAGGTGTGTCCTAGGATGCTTAAGGCGTGTGCTGCTGAACTTGGGGAGCCGCTACAACGAGTCTTCAACCTCAGTCTGCGACTGGGGAGAGTGCCCGCCCTATGGAAGACATCCTGCATCGTCCCGGTCCCCAAAAAGAACCGGCCCAATGAGCTGAATGACTTCCGACCGGTGGCACTGACGTCACATCTTATGAAGACTCTAGAGCGGCTCTTCCTCAACCTCCTCCGACCACAGGTACAACATGCCCAGGACCCACTACAGTTTGCATACAAGGCGGGTGTTGGAGTGGAGGATGCCATCCTGTACCTCCTACACAGAGCCCACTCACACCTGGATGGGGGAAAAGGCACGGTCAGGATCCTGTTTCTTGACTTTTCCAGTGCCTTTAATACCATCCGGCCCTGTATGCTTCAGGAAAAACTGAACAGGATGGAGGTGGACCCCTGCCTGGTGGCTTGGATCTCCGACTACCTCACCGACAGACCACAGTACGTCAGGCTGAAGGACATCACGTCTGACACTGTGGTCAGCAGCACAGGAGCACCACAGGGAACTGTGCTGTCCCCTCTTCTCTTCACCCTGTACACCTCTGACTTCTGCTACAACTCTGAATTATGCCATATTCAGAAGTTTGCAGATGACACGGCCATCATGGGGTGTATCTGGGATGATCAGGAAGAGGAGTACAGAAGTCTGGTGAGGAACTTTGTCGCATGGAGTCACACAAACCACCTGCAACTCAACACCTCAAAGACTAAGGAACTGGTTGTGGACTTCGGGAGGTCCAGAGAAGGTCCACTGCCAGTTCAGATAGAGGGGGAGGAGGTGGAGGTGGTCAACAAGTACAAGTACCTCGGGCTGTGGGTGGACAATAAACTGGACTGGTCATGCAACACAGAGCACCTGTATAAAAAAGCCCAAAGCCGACTGTACTTCCTCAGGAGGCTGAGGTCTTTTAACATCTGCAGGAAGCTCCTGAGGATGTTTTACCAGTCGGTGGTTGCTGGAGTACTTTTCTATGCTGTGGTGTGCTGGGGGAGCAGCACAGCAAAGAGGGACTCATCCAGGCTGGAGAAACTGATCAGGAGGGCTAGTTCTGTGGTCGGCATGAAGCTGGACACTCTGGTGACAGTGGCAGAGAAAAGGACACTAAAGAAACTGATGGACATTATGGACAATGCTGGGCATCCTCTGCACACGGCCATAAACAACCAGAAGAGTCTGTTCAGTGACAGGTTGCTTCTCCCCAAGACAAGAACTAACAGACTTAAAAACTCCTTTGTCCCACACGCCATCAGACTGTTTAACTCCTCTCTGGAGGGGAGAGGGAGGGGAAACAGGAGGACAAAGGAGGGGGGAACAACTAAGCTGTAGTGCCTCTTCACCTCACTGTGCAATACCTTTTGTGCAATACTTTTTGTAAATAGTCAACAGTGCAATAGACTCAATACTTGAAATGTGCAATTCACTTGTATTTTTATTTTTTATTCCTATTTATTCTATTTATCCCCTTCGTATATTTTATTTATATTTGTCTCTGTATTTATTTATATATATATTATATATATATATATATATATATATATATATATATATATATATATATATATATATATGTATGTGTGTGTGTGTGTGTGTGTGTGTAACTTCGGTCGTTGCTGTGCTTTTTTGGAAGTCGAATTTCCCAGAGGAACCCACCCGAGGGATTAATAAAGTTCTATCCTATCCTATCCTATCCTTCAAAGTCTGTGCAAGTGTAGAAATTAGTGCTGTCAGCGTTAATCTTGTTAAAATGACGTTTACGCCATAACCGCATTAACGTGGCAAATCTCTGTTAGCAAGTTAGCGCGGATCACCGGCGCTAACGTGTTAACGAGCTAACCGTGCAGCCCCACGGGGTCCTGAGTTATCGCATTCAAAAGATTTTCAGAAAACTCGACCTCTGACCCCTGGCTTTAAGTTTGAGGTCACTGAACTCGTCTGAGGGTTTTAGTAGATGCACCTATGGTATCAATTTCACAACTCTAGGTGAGTAATGCAATCACAAACTTAAGTGTCCACGTCGCCCACCCAGTAGGGTGACTACAACAACCAATCAGCTTATTCTGGCCGAGGGGTAAACACCGAAAAGAACACCGACTAATAATCAGTACAGATATAGTTTAGCATACAAGTGAATGCGCATCTGTCCAACACCAAGACTCATTATCATTTATCATTTCAGGTATGGATTGACCCCTTGAATAAAGCAGCAGTGGTTTCACAGCATATAGACTTCAGATTCTTTGAATGCCGCGATCTCTCAAACTGACTCTGTTACAGACTGTGTGTGGAATAAACAAAGAGACAGGGCACTGATTCATGGTTTTAGGAGTGGCTAGGCCACTGTAAAAGGAATATTTGCATTTTTATCAGTGAGTTTGCATGGTGTCTTATAGCAGCTACACATGAACGTACAGATGAAATGGTCTCGCACTCGTCCAAGCTTCACCACATTCTTCAGGTCACTGTGTCGGAGGACTTCCCGGCTGCATGTGTCCAGGCGACTGTTCACAACTTTGGCAACCTTTGTCCCTTAAATACACAAAAAATGTGATAACATTCGCAGCATCAGGTGACTGATTGCAGGTTAATACAATGTAACTTGTTGAATTTAAGTGAAGCCACTCTTACCATTAATATCTTCCAGGTCTATAACTCCTCGTGAGAAGCACTGTTTTAATCGCTCCGCCTTCTCTCCCTCCACCACCTCCAGGAGGGTGATCTCTGGGAGGAGGCGGTAACTCGCTGTGGCCACTGGGGAGAACTTGGCATGGTCTTTGCCTAAACACACAACAGAGGACACACTTTAGCATTAGGCAGCAGAAAATACTGTTTACAGACTATCCCGTTATTTGGACTGATAACATCCAAGTAGTATGTAAACTGCTGCATTCACTTCAGCACATCCTGAAAACATTCCACCCTTAGCTTGAGATGTTTTAGTAGTGCACCAGCCACATACCCAGGGTCACCTGTTAACTCACATTTCATCTTGTACTTGAACTCCCTGCAGCCAGAACGTGATATTATGGAAAAAGTCAGCCACTCCTGTACGCCACCATTTGGTGCACACACCTATCTAAAGCCCTACAAACACACACGCACACACATCTCACTGAAAGTCTCAAAACACAATGGACACATATGGAATTATGTAGTAAACAAAAAAGTGTGAAATAACTCAAAACATGTTTGATATTTTAGGTTCTTCAAAGCAGTCACCCTTTGCTTGGATTACTGCTTGTCACGCATTCCCTGAAATGCTTCTCTTGTCCTGAAGGAGTTCCCAGAGATGCTGAGCACTTGTTGGTCCTTTGGCCTTCACTCTGCGCTCCATCTCATCCCAAACCATCTCCATTGAGTTTAGGTAATTTTGAATAAATCCCCAACAGTGTCACCAGCAAAGCACCCCCCCACCATCACACCCCCTCTCCTCCATGCTTCAGTAGTATGAGGGTCCACACAGATGTCCGTTGGCCAGGCCTTTTTTTGTGACTGTATGTACTCATCTGCTGAGAATTTACATTACAACCCAACAACTATGAATTCAAAGAAATATAACAGGAATTACTATTCAGGAATCTGGCCTCCAGCTGCTCGTGTCGATGTCCGCAGCAAAGTGTAATCCAGGCATTATAGCCGATTCAGTGTTGCCAATTAATGCATGTGCATACACATCTTTGGACTGTGGGAGGGAGCCAGCGTACCTTGAGAGAACCCACACACACAGGAAGAGCATGCAAACTGAGGACGGAGAGCCCCTGACCGACCAGTGGATTCAAACCCAGGAGTTTCAAACCCTAATGGGACCACGTGTATCCCAAACCAATAAAGTGTGACATGGAAGCACTTCAACATATAAAATGTTGTTAAATCAAAGATTGTTTAAAACACTATTGTATAATGTTACTGGAGCCAGATGTAACACATATATCCCAATGGTTTGTGTCGGACTGAGAAATTTCTTAATATCAGTTTGATGAAATTAATCTGAAGATGTTTCTAAGCTGCAGATTCTAAGTGTGTGCTTAGAAACCATCAAAGGTTGGATGGCCGACAACTTCCTCCAACCTAATGAAGAAAAGACTGAAGTCCTTGTATGTGCTCCAGACAGACATGTACCTGACATAATGAATGCTCTTGGTCCTCTTTCAACATTTGTGAAATCGTCTATCAGGAACCTCGGGGTAACCTTTGATTCTGCTCCTACCCTGGATGTCCACGTCAAATCTCTGGTTCGGTCCTGCTTCTATCATTTAAGAAGCATTTCTAAATTGAGCCCTACAGTGTCTCATACTGAACTGGAGATTGTTATTCATGCATTCATTTCATCACGATTGGACTACTGTAATTCACTGTTTACATGTCTAAACAAAAACTCCCTGGAGCGTCTGCAGATTGTCCAAAATGCTGCAGCAAGGCTTCTGACAAAACATCTAAATGGTAAATAAATGGCCTGTATTTATATAGCGCTTTTCTAGTCCCTAAGGACCCCAAAGCGCTTTACATATCCAGTCATCCACCCATTCACGCACACATTCACACGCTGGTGATGGTAAGCTACATTGTAGCCACAGCCACCCTGGGGCGCACTGACAGAGGCGAGGCTGCCGGACACTGGCGCCACCAGGCCCTCTGACCACCACCAGTAGGCAACGGGTGAAGTACTCTCATGTAACACCGTTGCTTATACAGCTGCACTGGCTCCCTGTTGAATTCAGAGTCCACTTTAAGATTCTGGTTCTGACCTTTAAGGCTCTTCAAGAACAAGCACCAGCCTACATCATTGAACTTTTACAGCCCTATGTCCCTAGCAGGTCCCTGAGGTCTTGTGATCAGGGCCTACTTGTTATTCAGTATACAAGACTGAAAAGCAAGGGTGACAGAGCTTTTGCCACTGTGGCCGCCAGACTGTGGACTCTCTTCCTCAGAACTTAAGATCTGCAGACTCAGTGATTACTTTTAAAAAGCAGCTAAAAACATCTTTTTAAAATTGCATTTTGTTAACTTTTGACTGTTTTTTTCTTTTATACCTTGTGAAGCACTTTGTGATCTTTTATCTAGAAATGTGCTATATAAATAAAATTTTACTTACTTACTTACTTACATGTTACATTACCTACTTACTGCAGTGTATTATGAGCATCTCTGTCCAGCCAATAGAAATAATGCATTGTTATTATAATGTAAATAATAATAATAATAATGCTCCTGTTTCTGTTTGCCTGTTTAGTGTCTCTATCTTCAGCACTGCAGCCGCTCAGAGACAAAGCTTACCAATTCCTTTGACACAGTGCATGACAATGTCCAGCTCTTGTCCCGGTCGTAGCTGAGCTATCAGAATGTCATCATGCACAGGCCCAATACAGCAGTCTGCAAACACGTCTGCCTGGTTCCCGATGGGGACCCACTTTATGTCCTTGGAATAAACTATGAGCAGATAAAAGTGGACAGAGCAGATATCTGCAATTAGACAGGAATACTTTTTTTTTACTAGGATATCTGCACCATTTTGTGACACCTAAAAATACCCACCCATGTGGTTTAAGTACAGCTCTCGTGGGTCTGATGAGTCTTTGCTTGCTCTGGGATTCCTGCTGCACTTAATCTTCAGCTGCAGTTGAATTGTGTCTATTTCTGAACCCTCTTCCTCTGCAGACTCCTCCCCTAAAAAAACCAAAGCAGCATTTTAGACATGTTGCTTAACATGCTGCACATCATCACTGTTAAATCAAGTGCAGGAGACACTGGAAATTTGCAGCTCATGAAATTATAAAAAGTGATTATTTAGTCTTTCAGTCACAGCACAAACCTGCGGACAGATGGCTGACTCCACATTCACGTGGAGTCACAGCTTTTTCCCCACCAAGCACAGCTACAGGACGAGATGTGTTTTAAAGGTACTAATGCTCATAACGCATGAATGAACGAGGCAACTAGAACATGGCATAAGTAGGAAGCAGGCATGACCTCTCCGTCATATCTGTTTCAGATGCTCAGTACAACTGAGGTCAGGCTCATTGTCAAGTTTCAGTTTCTGCAGCACAGCAGGAAAACTGTCTTTATTCTTAGACTTATGACTAAGCAAGATGTTATCTAAACCGGCACTTTGTCACATGACAAGAAGATGACACAGTGGGATAAAATGAGCATTGGTGTCAACTGCCTTATGGGTGAGTGGTTCAATATGATGCTTTACCAGTGTTTCTGTACTCAAACAGATGAGGGTCAGCTTTGATGGGGATGAGGCCTAATCTGTGGGCCAGGACTTCGTCTTGGACAATGGAGGTATTACTATAGATGAACACCTTTTCTGTAGCCATAGTAGGCACCTAAAAAAAATTAAATAATAATTAGCAGCTTTCAAAATATATTTGCATAAAATGAATAAACTAAATGCCTAAATTCACAAAATGTACACGTTCTTCATCAACCAAAGTCCCTCACATAATGAAAGTTCAAGACCAGGTCTGAAACCGTAGTGACACAACAAAACAAGCTCACCTCTGCCAGTAAGATCCTTCTGAAGGCATTGGCAATGGCTGCATCAATCCCCACCATGTCGAACTCCATACTGTTTTCATCCAGATGCACGACATCGATTCTGAAGTTCTGCAAAGAAACAGGAGAGTTCCATTTCTATTTAGAATCGCACGCATTTGTTAAAGGCACAAGTCAAGCACTGGTCTTATTTAGCACGTTAGTCACTCTAGTCTGTACACATCTTTGTCCAAATACACATTCAATACTTTTTACTGGTGGACAGACAAATGTAAGGAAAAGGCAGGTGACTAACATAACCTAAAGGTGCTGCTGGCGTCGAATCAGGCCAGGAATGATGCTTAGAGTAATTATGACCCTGTGGTGTGTTAAAAGCAGTACTTTGGTTAAATGCTTTAAGTTACTACTGAACGGCTGCACTTCAGCCGCATCTCGATTACTTGATTAAAAATGAAATGTGGTGGTATGCATAGGTGAAATTACAAATCTGTTGCTGTGCAAACATTTAGGGGTGGCTGTAGCTCAGGTGGCAGAGCAGGTCAGCCACTAATCAGAAGGTCGGTGGTTCGATCCCAGGCTGCCTCCTGGCTGCATGCCAAATATCCTTGGGCAAGATACTAACCCCGTGTTTGCCTACTGGTGGTGGTCAGAGGGCCCGGTGGCGCCAGTGTCCAGCAGCCTCGCCTCCGTCAGTGCGCCCCAGGGCAGCTGTGGCTACAAAGTAGCTGCCATCACCAGTGTGTGAATGGGTGGATGACTGGATGTAGTGTGAAGCGCTTTGGGGTCCTTAGGGACTAGAAAAGCGCTATACAAATGCAGGCCATTTATACACATTTTGGAAAAGCCATGTGAGATTTACAGAAGAAAACTGATGACATTCGTCCTCCCAGCGTTTACAGGGCCACCGCAGTGACAACGTTTTACCTTTTGAAATTTCTCCACGTTCCAAGTGTCGTCATATCCGGGGTAGTTTCCAGGGAAATCCGTAGTATGAACCTAAGAGCAACAGATAAATAATGGCTGAGAGTAATAAGAGACAACAACAGCACACAGGTCCACAAGTATGATCAGACACATTCTGTCGGGGATACCTAGTTTGGCACGACACCGGCAGGTGATACTACTAGTGAATAATCAACGCAGAAACACATTCTGCTTTCACCTCCTTGTTGTATATTATAATAAGTGCTCATTAAGTAATATTAATGCAGTCCGTGTCAAACACGCGTATCAGTTAAAGCGTGTCAGTCAGAGCCTCACTACCCCACAGAGGACATGCTGTACGTCTCCAAATCCACGATCACAGCCGCACTTACATTCGTCACACCAAATTCTCCCAATATTACTCGATTCCGAATTTCTTCCACGTTCTCCATGCGGGCTGCCATTTTGCCGAGTGGGCGGGGAGTCTTTGGCTCCGCCCGCACCTCCTTTACGGTTCTCTCCTCTCCATCAGCAGCTGTATGAATCAGGGGGTTTCTCTCTAATATGCACGCGGAGAAATTTGGCTCTTATACGGGAGACAAGATCAAAATTGCAGCATCGGGTGTTTTTCACAGTATGCTCATACTGCAGTGTTCATGGACTTTGCGCCAGTTCACACTGAGTGATGAATAAAAACTGCAGTCATTCGTCAGTAGCACTCGGAGGCACTGTGTGGTTATCGGTGATGAATAATCAGTTCTTTGTGGTTGATATGGTGGTGATAGACGCAAAGGCCAACATCAAGCACTCAGCCTACGAAAAAGAACTCGGTGGGATAAACTGTGCATTGAGTAAAAGTCAGTCGTTTAAAAATGATCTAGTTTCAAGTCTTGATTTCCGCTTTAGTTTTTGGCGTCTCCCCCATCCTTATTTCATGATTTGGTTTGGTCCAGGTGCACGCGCTCCTAGCTGATGCTGAGCGCTAGAAGGGGGTGCTTGTTTTTGTCCTTTTATTCAACATGTAATTGGTGCAGGCAGACCCTTTTTAAAAATCACTTCATCTGACGACCTGCTGCCAGGCCAAACCTCTGGCTCAGCTGTCCGGCTCTGCGTATACACTCCGAAATCTGAAGAAGTAGGTGAGATTTTTTGTGTTAAAAATGTGTCAGATTAATAATAAATAATAATAATAATACATTTTATTTAAATAGCGCCTTTCAAAGCACCCAAGGACACTGTACAACAGATAAAAACTGGAAATATACACAATGATAAAAATAGAAGATAAAGTTAAAACATACAGAAATTTAAGAATAGGCAATTTTAAACAGATGAGTTTAACACATTTTAGTTGCCTTTACCGTGTTAAATAATAATAATATATTAATATATGTATATATATATATATATATATATAGTTTAATTATCATTAACAATATTAAAAAGTTAAATAAAATGGCTTGCACATGTCTCATCAATCTTACACAAAATCAAAAAAAAAAAAAACTATTTATCTCTGCAAAATATTGATCCATGTCTGCTCAGTGTTATATTTTTAGGGCCGGAGCCTTACACTATGGACCAGGGTTTTGACTTATCCAGGTAACATCAGGGTTAACCCTGGGTAAATTGCCATGGTAACCTGTTCTGGAGTAGGTTTGAAATCATTGCCTACTGACCAATCAATTCTCCAGAAAATAGTGTCACCATTCCATGTCTGACAGAGTATTAGGGGCACATTAAGTTAAACAAAAAGTGTTAATTTTCAGATTAAAGATGGAATTTTGAGATTAAACTTAAAATACTATTTTGAGAAAAAAGTTGAAATGTGGAGACTGCAGTTGTCATTTTAAGCCAGGGCTGTCGAACTGCAGGCCTCGAGGCCCGGTGCCCTGCAGGTTTTAGATATCACCGTGGGTCACCACACCTGAATCAGATGATTAGTTCATTAACAGGCTTCTGGAGAAGTTCAAGAGGAGGTTGCTGAGGAGGTCATTTAGCCATTTAAATCAGCTGTGTTGGATCAAGGACACATCTAAAACCTGCAGGACACCGGCCCTCGAGGCCTTGAATTTGACTCCCCTGCTCTAGAAAATGCCATGCATAGACGTCGTCATCTATTGTATTGGGTCTTGTGATACAACATACATCGTGTTTATTGCTTGAGGGTGTAAACCATCATTATCCTTGCGTCTGTCCAATGCCAGGTATTTCATTTTGTGCACAGTCGTGTGTTCTTCCTTCTGACCAGATGCAGCTTTCTGCAATCTTTTCAAAGCTCTTACAAGGAAATTATTTCCTTCTAACTAAAAACAATTCTGAAGTATGATCACAAACTCATGTACACAAAGCGTTTTCTAGAAGGCTTTAATCTCCACATTTCAACTTTACTCTCAAAATATTATTTTGAAGTTAATCTAGAAATTTTGAATCTAATCTCATAATGATCAATAATATATATTTTTTCTTAATGTGGTCCTAATATTCCTTTGTATCCCTCGGACCTCTGTGCTCAAACAGCAGGAGGGCCTGAAGTTTAATAATACCATGTAATGTCTTTATGTTTCCCTGGATCTGGATCCGGTCTTTTATCAGTTCCCAGAGTCAGAACCAGACACGGAGAAGCTGCATTCAGCTTTTATGCTCCTTATATCTGGAACAAACTCCCAGAAAGCCTCAGATCAGCTGAAACACTCAGTTTATTTAAATCCAGGTTGAAGACTCACCTGTTCTCAGCTGCATTTGAATAAAGCACCAAATCCACACTTTAAGCTTAAATTTCAAAACTTACATTTAACTACTGATTTTATCTACTGTTCTGATTTTATCTGTTTTGATTTTATATACTGTTGTTTGTTTGTTAGTTAATTAGTTAGTTTATTTGCTTGTTTTAATCAATTTTAAATCATGCTTTTTATTTGTTCTTATTTCTAATGTCTCTGTAAAGCACTTTGAATCACCTTGTTGTTGAATTGTGCTATACAAATAAACTTGCCTTGCCTTGCCTTGCCTAAAGAGCATCTGCAACAAATAATAAATAATGTAGATTTTTAATGCAATGCTTTCTCTGTTAGCAGCAAACATTGCAATATTTTTATTGTTCTATAAGCTTTCATATCAGATCCTGAAACAGGACATCTGCTATGTACTTGCACAACTTCTATCAAATTTGCACTATGTTTGAATTATGTTTTTATATGTAATCTTTACTCTTGAACCATAAACAGCAGAGTCTGTAGATAAAGAAGTAAAAACTAAAACTGTTGGGAACGTGTGTTATAGATTCTCGTGGAGTTTTTTGTTAATCGGTCACATTTATAGTTCACCTTGTAATCGGAAGGTTGCTGGTTCGAGCCCCGGCTCGGACAGTCTCGGTCGTTGTGTCCTTGGGCGAGACACTTCACCCGTTGCCTACTGGTGGTGGTCAGAGGGCCCGGTGGCGCCAGTGTCCAGCAGCCTCGCCTCTGTCAGTGCGCCCCAGGGTGGCTGTGGCTACAATGTAGCTGCCATCACCAGTGTGTGAATGGGTGGATGACTGGATGTAGTGTGAAGCGCTTTGGGGTCCTTAGGGACGAGTAAAGCGCTGTACAAATACAGGCCATTTACCATTTTACTTTGATCTGTGACAAACTGACGTGATTTCCACATCTCCTTTATCAGGTTGTGGGACTGTATTTAAATTAATTAAAATCTTATTGTGTATTGTATCCTTTTTACGAAAGTGTTGCATTTTATTGGTATATGGTTTTGATCTTCACAATTTTTTCTTTTTTTTTATAAATCACAGTTTGATAACATCTCTGAGAAGGTGGCACTCATAGGGATCATTTTCTGTAGAAGGGTCATATGATGTGAACTCGCAGGGGAAACGCTGGGTTAACTTGAGTTGATAACCTTCACTCACTGTGTTTTACACACCACTGTGCAGTTAATCGTGAGTTATTATTATATTAAGATATGGGGAACTTCAGGCATTTTTCATTCATGAAACACTCTTAATAAAAGGTAGAGATTCAGTTCAACAGCTAGAACTAGATTAGATGAAAACATTGACAATTTTAATGACCAATAAAAATGCAGCATTAAAGAGGTGAAACGTGGAAGTTTTAGCAGTTTCCCAGAGAACTGTCATGGAGTCTGTTAACTCCAAAAGAATGAATGTTATTTAGACGTTGGTACTGTACTGTTTGTGCAAAACTGGCAGTGAAAAGAGATGTTGACTGAGCTAAACACCAATTTAATTAACAGTAATAGTGCACAGAAGCATATTATGGACTACTGATGAATGATGTCTGCATCCACTGAGAGAGAAATAGAATATGTCCCTGGGTAATATTTCACTGAGAAATGATGGAACAAAAATTTGTTGTTTTTTGTTTTATTTCTTTTTAACATTTTCTTTGTCATAGTGATCTTTAATCATTATCAGGCTTTCATAATCTTTACAATATTTGAATAAGGATCACTTTCTGAAAAGTTTTTCCATTCAATTTGGTATAGAGGTTTGTCTTATAAGAATGCAGTATCATCCAGACATTTGAGGTTGACGCTATGAGCAGACCTTGTGGCTACTAAGCACAGTGTTCAGGTCCTGTTCATCTGTCAGGTGCTCAGTTAATCAACAGCTGCAGAGCTGCAACTGCAGCAAGCCGGAGATTGGAGGTAGCCCATCATCCTTCTTTTTCTGTAACAGCCAGCATTCCTGACTTGCTGGGAGGGGTTGGGGTTTTGCTGTGAGAGCTTGGCCGCACGGTTTGCTGTCTCCTTGATCTGCAGCTCAAGGTGTTTCTGGATGGCGAGACCCAGCTCCTCAGGGTCCACGGAGGCCCCATAGACCTCCCATGTCATCCCTTCTGCATCCCACTTCACTTCCTTGACTGGGGACTTAGGTGCACCACTTGCTTTTTTGTCTCTGTCGCTGTCAGTCTGGCTAGAAGACATCTTACTCTTGTTAGCTTCTGCCAGATAGATCTGAGGGAACACATGAGAACCGGTGGTCTGATTTGTCTGCACCCCGATATCTCTCAGAACTTTTTGGGCTGTCATAGTTCCCATGTCACGCGTTGTGATTCTTTCTTGGCCAGTTGTCGTACTGCACCAGTCATCTTTACCTAAGTGTTTTTGGGAGCATTGTGGGCCAGTACCAGGTGGCAGTGAACTAATCCAGGAGCAGCTCAGATTGCAGCAACGCAGCAAATGTTTGGCATCTAAGCCAGTCTCACTAACAGAGGAGAAGAGGCGAGGCAGTGTAAGGTGGTTTCCTGCTGAAGAAGGTGGTACTGGAGGCTGGATACTGGAGTCTGCCAGACGTGGCAGCATCTGCGAGGGGGCTGGAATAGGCTGAGGATGGCAGTAGGCAGCAAATGTATCCTCAAAATTGGCATGGTGGATATAGGAGCTGCAACAGTGTGGCTTGTCACATTTAGTGGAAAGAGGGCCGCCTTCTCCTTGACACTGCGCTTTGATATCTGCGTCATCAGATGAGATACAGAGACCTCTCCTCTGAGGATGCTGTAAGCTACAGTCTCCACTGCAAATAGTGGTAACAGTGTTGCACTGATGTAGCTGCATGGGCTGCTTGCAAGCCATCATGGAGTGAGTCTCAGCCTCTTGGACGCTTGCATCTCTGCTGTGGAAAGCAATTTCAGTTTTCGCCAAAGGCAAAGTGTCCGAGTGACTCCTGTGAACAATCAGGGTGGCCAGCTTCACATTCTGCTCTGTTCTGATGGTCTCAGGATAATTAGTGTTTGTATTCACAACTATCTCATCATTGTCTGAAAGTGTTTCTGTCACAACTGGACGAAGTGGGTGATTTGAAGCCATGATGAGCGGGAAGTGTTCAGATGGGCTTTGTTGGTGTTTAGCGGTTTCTGTTGCAGTAGGAGTTGAATGACATTGTTCTTCACAGATTTCACTGGGGGATTTCTCCTGGCAGTTGTAACATGGTCGTTGAGGCAGTCCAGAGGGTGATGTTACTTGTGTAGGTGTCTCTGTGGTGTCAAAGACGGACTGGTTGGAAAAAATAGGCTGCAGTGGAATAGTTCCTCCCATTGGATGCAGCTCTGACATGGGACGCCCTGCCTCTGCCATGGAAGACCTTTAGGAAGAAATACAACATATTGTGTAGGTGACAGCACAGATACAACAGAGCAGAAAACAGAATAATAAATGCATACTTTAATACTGCATTCATTATTTAATTCAATAGAAATACTAATACTTATTTGTTCACAATAGTGAATTGTGATGTATTTTCCAGCTGACAAGATGAATTTATTGTAATCATTTGCAAAAAATAAGCACAGTCCACAAATGACTGTTTTTAAAATAGCTACAGTGCTACATGGTGCTGTAGTAACATAAATCATTACAAATTTTCAGTGTTTACCCAATTTTTAATAAACCACCATGGACTTGTACACTAGAAGGACAGTGCATATGTTGAACAAAGTTGAAGACGGAGCTGCAAACAGGAGGAAACGAGGAAGACCACAAAAAAGATCCATGGCTGTAGTGAAGGAGGACATGCAAACGGTTGGTGTGCCAGAGAAGAATGGTAAGGATAGGGTGAAAGGAAGGCAGATGACCTGCTGTGGTGACCGTTCTAAGGCTTGCACATGCTATGCTCATTGTGAGCAATCCTTTAACCTCCAACCTGCCACCAGCTAAAGGTTTTTCCAATGTTTCTTTAAACTACTGTAAATCTTGAACAGTTTGTGCAATCTTAAAAATTCCAATGGTTTCTGAAAGGAGCGACTCAGTGCTTTTCATTCATTAAGTCATTAAGGTAATCACAAGCACAGCGCCACAGCAGCATCAGGAAGATGAAGGTCGAAAGAGAGTGCGAAGGAGTTATACAGAAAACTGACATTATGTTTGACATTTTGTTTTTGCTGTGTTTTTCATGTTTCGTGCCAAGTTTTTTGTATTTTTGTTATTTTAAATTTTACTTATCACCTATCAGCAAACGTGCACTGCCCAGCCTTCTTCCAGCACCTGAAAAAGCAGGGATTTGAGGCTTGTAGAACAGTGCAGAGTGGGTTGATTATCCACTCGGGAAAATGTGCAGAGATGTTTTAGGGTTAGGGTTAAGTTAAAAAGGAGCACACAGGACCAGGCTGAATAACAACAACCCACATTAATCAAGAATCTAATATGGGATCATATTGGTGACAGCACTTGGAACCATAAGGCAACAGGAAATAAACTAGACTCTGCCTGTGACTCACTCTTTCTCCTTCCATCTCCTCTGATCCATCACTCTCCACTTGCTGTCCATCTGACAACAAGGCACAATTTGCTATTGCACTGATCTATTACTTAATTATCCACACTTAAACTCGTTTCACCTAATCCATGATAAAGTAATGACAGAAGAATGTTATAGAACCAAAGCACTGCAGTTGTGTTTATTATTGTTTTTATAGTTGAGTAATAACTTAAAAAAATCTATACACAAACACACACACGGACATACAATGAGATTTTATACGTTCTCCACAATACTGTATATACTATGGCCACAATAAAAACTGATCCACAATCTTTTCCTTATTATTTATTCCTAGTGATATAATAATAATAATAATAGCAAAAAAATTAAGTCATACATATAAAATAATGTATTTATGATAATTCAGTTTGTTTGACTATTCACTCTGTGCAGGCAGAAAACTTATTAAATGTTTAAACTGTAGAAATAGAATCATTTTGCTGCTGTAAAATCAGCATTTTGTCATATTTGAAATATAAATCTAATATATTCTGTTTCTTAATTATTTTCTTTAAAACAGAATCTGTGTGTGTGTGTTCTTACTATCATAATTATAATGCACATTAGATGCTTATTAGATGCCCTGCGACTATGTGCTCCACAAATTATTTATGACCAGTGTTGGGTGTAACGCGTTACTGTAATTAAGTTACTTTTCCACTGAAAGAGTAGAGTAACTGATTACTGTTCATTTTTAGGTATTTCAATTACAGTTACTTACAATGTACTTGCGTTACATGGTAAAATAATTAAACTGGCTGAATATTTCATTTCAATCATTTGTCTTCTAAACGTAGAAGTAAACTCTGCCGCTTTAACATGGCTGTAGTGCAGCTGCGCGTCATTTCACACCGGTTTGCTGCACAGTCGTTTTCTACAGCGGAAGCTGTCGGACTGAAGCGAGTGGCTGTTTTTTGAGGTGGACATATTCCCGTCTCTTCACTTTTCTGAAACGAGCAGACAAGAACATTACAGTAATATGTAAAAACTATGGGCTGCTGTTCATAGCACGAGTCATCTACTGAAGCGCCTGACACGGAGCATAGACGAACACTTCTGAGCGATCCTTGTTCATCATCCATGGATAACACCGCGGCAACTCCCGCTAGGCAGCAAAACCTGATTTTACTTCAGCAGCGCAGAAAGCGTCTGAAGGTGAGCTTAAAAACGACTGCAGGCTACACTGTGGAAGAGATGCTGCCGCTGCGTACTGCAGAGTCTCCGTCTTTATTCATTATTTAAAGAGTTTAATTTCTATCGTCTGCCACTCGAGGTTTAGAGGGATTCTAAGAAGTATTTGGTTAAATTACTTATTTAGTAATTAAGTTACTTTTCTGACACAGTAATTAGATAAGTATTTAAAATACAATATTGACTAAGTAATTAGTAATGAATTACTTTTTTAAAGTAACTTACCCAACACTGGTTATAACTATAGAATAAATAGTGTTTCTCGCTCATTTCTCATATCTAGTGGTATTTTCACATACAAGCTTGGAATATTTCCTCATTAGAGAAATTAGTTTTCATCCCCTAAAGCTAGACTTGGTAACCTGGGAGGGATTGCCAAGGCAACTGCCTCTGGCCACTTTTGCCACTGCCTGCCACAAAGTAATAGACCACCCCAAATCTTCCTTAGATTAGATCCACAAGGCAGGCTCCCAGTATTTCTGCTCTGTGTGAGGTTACTTGGTTATATTATCTCCATAACGGTCATCTGATGAGAACCATTCATCAATCCAGCCACCTTTCAGAAAAGCTATTTTCTGCTGCTTGACCAGCAAACTGACAGCTTCACTTTCACACTCAGCTCTCGCTTCACTACAGTGTAGAGCCTGATCATCGAGCTCCCTCCCTAGAACCGGCTCCAGGATAGGGCCTCATCCTCCCTTTAACCCTAACCAGTTGCAGCAGATGGCCACCGATTCTTAAGTCTGGTTCTGCCTGATGTTTCTTCCTGTGAAAAGCAAGGGGGGTCATCTGACTGTTGGACGTTTTTCTGTTTTCACGCAATTATTGTGCGACCTTTCCCCCCTTAAATAGTTTAGAAATTCAATTCAGTTTAATTGAATAAACCCTATTTGGGCAGGATAGACTGGTCCCTTGATTCAATTCTTTTTATAGGTGTCGGGTGAAGCACTCCGTCTTATCCAGGACACAGAACTGTAAAATAATCACTTTAGGGCTAAAAAAATGTTGAATAAACAGAAAGCGTATTAACACTGGCACCTTGAATGTCTTTCCAAGTCATTCCAGCCAACTTTCACCCTTGAGTATAGAGCAATAAATAATATAAAACCATAAATTTTGTTTGTACACACCCAGTCAAAAGTTTGGACACACCTTCCTGTTTAATAGTTCTTGACTTTCAATACTTGTGAGCCTGTCAGGGTTCATTGGTGGAATTTCTTGCCTTCTTAATGGAGTCGGGACCATGAGTTGTGTTGTGTAGAAGTCAGTAAACAGCTGACAGCCCTATTTGACGGTTGTTAGAATTAATATTTTGGCAAGAACTGCAAAAACCATCAAGTGCTATGAAGAAACCGACTCACACAAGGACGCCCCGGGAATGGAAGAGCAAGAGTCACCTCTGCTGCTGAGGATAATTCATACGAGTCACCAGCCTTTGTGTTTAGTTGGACCTTCATTTATTTTTCAACAGCACAATGACCCCAAACACAACTCCAGGCTGTGTGAGGGCTATTTTTCCAACAAGGAGAGTGCAGTGCTGCGGCAGATGGCTTGGCCTCCACAGTCACCTGACATAAACTTAGTAGAGATGGTTTGGGATGAGATGGAGCGCAGAGTGAAGGCAAAAGGACCAACAAGTGCTCAGCATCTCTGAACTCCTTCAAGACTGCTGGAAAACCATTTCAGGTGACGACCTCATGAAGCTCATGGAGAGAAGGCCATTGAATGAGAAGGCGTGTCCACATTTTTGACTTGTAGTGTAAATCTACTGGTGATGGATACACCAAGAGGGTTGTCTTTTATCTCTTATTGTTCTCCACATATAGGTTCAGAAAGGTTTGGTGTTTGAAGGCAAATTCATAATAATAAAAACCGTAAAAAACGAATAAAAACCGGAGAATTTGTCCTTGGTTACTTCCTGCCTCTGCTTTCATCCTTTCTCTCTATCCAAAGACCTGCGGCATTCAGCTCTGTGCAAGGTGAGCCTCTTCATTAGTTTATGGTGGTGTTTTTAATTTGTTATATTGTACATCTTGTTGAGGGAGTTCATGTTCTGCTGCTATTTGTGGATGATATCTACTCTGCAGTGCATGGTATCTGTACAGATCTGTGAGAATTCTCCAGATCAATGTAACGTGAAAGCCCTCGTATCCATATTTATGCAAACATATGGAACATTTAAAGGACACATGCATAATCACTCTATCATTCAGCTAAATGGCTGTTGTTTTTTTAAAATAGGAGTTTTCTACTCTGCTGGAGGACTCGAGGCACTTTATGGAGCCTGCTTCGTTCTCCCATTCATATAAACATTTTTCTACACCTGCTTTCTATCCAACATTAACACTGATGAACACATTGGAGAACAACATGGAGGTCATATTGTTTTGTATTATTATAGAATTTGGCAATCAACTTTGCCTGTATAAAAGTCACTGCACACCACTGAGATTCAGACATTTCAAGCACGTCCTCTGTAGCTGTTACAGGCTCAACTTCACTGGCTCTTTGCCGCTTACACAAAATCAAGGTGTAAGGTGAGGTTACAATGCTAGTGAACGACAACCCCATTTTTATTCCACTTCTATACTTCTTTTTAACTCACTATTCTTCCTTAAATAGTGAACTATTATTTTAAAATAGTAGCAGCTTTATTTTTGTCTCAGTAATAGCTGACTGGATCTCTTTAATATGAGAACATGTTTTTTTAAAGCACTGTAATACAAGTCACAGGAACCCTACTGTCAGCGGTGGTACAGATTTAGATTGTTCCAATTATAGCCCATGGGAAATTTTCAGATATTGGCTAATTCAAGGAAAAGAAGTAGAACACATCAGGCTGCTGGAATTACTCTAGTGAACTGAACCACCTGGAACCAGATCGGATCCTTTTGCACACCCTTGTCTCTATTGGAAACAGAATCATGAAGATGATGCACAGACAGACGTGGTAAGAAGTGCATACATGTAGAACCCATTCATACAGCAGTGCCTGTATCAGAAGAAAAGATGGTTAGGTCCTTTTCTTCAACCAGCTTACCTTTACAGTGATCTACTTGCTGCTGACACTGTCCTCTTCCTTTTGTGTGTTGGGTGATGGTTGCAGTTCCTTAGAAAGCCCTCCTCCTCATATCCACAGGTGACCCCTTTCCCTCTCTCTGTGTAACTCCACTTCATTCACGCACATCCGATCCTTTTCTTCTCCTTTTTTCCTCAGCAGCTCCCAGCTGTGCACAAAATGGAGGAGACCTCGAGATAATCCCCCCTTGCATCTGATTAGAAATGCCAGGATGCAATCTTCAAATCTCGTGTTCTGTAATGGCGAGTCAGCCTGCTTTGTAGTTGCCTTATCCGGCTATAGAAGGAGATGGGTGGAGGGGGAGGGGGAATGATGGGAGGAGATAGTCAGGCAGCTGGCGTGTTTGCCCCTCCACCTGGGAAGCAGGGCTGACGTATGAATGAATGTGTACACGACAGAGAAATAAAGACAACAGGCTGTCTGTCCTTGTCCATATCAGCGTTTACACTTTCTTTTCTTCTTCTGCGTAGTTCCACTCTGACCTCAGGTAGTGCTTCAGTCTCAAACTCTGTTTTTCCTCTTCTTATTTCTTGCTCTACCTCGCTGCCGCTCTGCCACCCAACACCAACCCACTCTTCAGCACTTTCTCTGTTGCTATGGAAACTGCAATACTCTTTTTTTTCCCACGTAGGAATGACACAACTAAAACCAATCAGCTGGGGACTTTTAATGTGTATGACCGACTCTGTCATTCAACTCACTGATTTGTATTTTCATTTCTGACAGAAAACATGAAAAGACCACACCTATGATAATTAACATATAACTAACTATATCTATATATTTGTCATTTATATTTGTGTCATCTGGCTTTATAAATAATATATAAATAAAGCTCTGTATCACCTGCATAGCAATTCAAATTTTGACTAGGTCTCATTTTTAAAACATTTTCTGCTTAATTCAGAAAGTTAAAGCCACGACTGTATAGGACATCTCAGACGCAAAGACGTGCCATAATAAAACACAACAAAGATGAGAAAGGAGGTCCCTGAACTGGTTGGCAGCTAAAATCTTCCCCAACGTTGCTGGAAGGTGGCCAAACTGCAGAATTCATCTTCCTGCAAGAAAAGGAAAAGATTCTGCTTTTAAAACGGAAGGAAATGGTTTCTTCAGCTAAAAAAAGAAAGAAAAAGAAATAGATATTTTTATGCAACAGTGGGAAATGTAACCCAGGTACAGGTTTGTTTGTATGGGGAGGTTGTCCTAATTGTCTGTGTGTGTAAGGGCTGGGTAGGTGGTGGATGACAGCTGTGCAAAGATTAAGGCTTAGATATTCTCGGAGCAGCTCTGTGTTTCTGTTATACGACTGCTAATTGCATTTGCCAAATGTATTAAAGTATATCTCTTTATATCTGCAGTTTGTGTGTTAGAACTTGCAGTTATTTTGAAGCAGTCTTATTTCTTCCACTTTCTTTTGTTATGTCCAAGTCTCACTTTGTGCTCACTGCTGCCTCTGACTCAGATTCCAGACAGGTTCTGCTTCAGGCTTTGCTGCAATGTGGGCTGTTCATGTAGCAACCATCACCCACAATATGACAGGATTATTAAGATAAGATAAGATAGAACTTTATTAATCCCTCGGGTGGGTTCCTCTGGGAAATTAGATTTCCAAAAAACAAAAAGCACAGCACCGACAGAAGTTACAGTTACAGAATATTTTTTTATATATACATACATACATACATACACACACACACACACACACACACATATATATATATATACATATATATATACATACATACATATATA